GAAACTTCTTTATATCTACAATTAGAGATTGGATGGAACCAAAATCTATAATACATTAATTGTTTCATGCTGTCCAAATTTCAAGAGAAAGAGAAAATTGTTTTCTTTTTCTTCATCCATTCATTCAAATTAGTTTTTTGATTAAATTTTAAAAAAAAATTTGTCCTCATACTTGTGTACTATTGACTTTGAAGAATATCATAAAAGACGAATAGTTGAAACATCAAATTCTTGAAATTAAAAGATAAAAGTTGGTGATCTATAAAGTTGGAAGTTAATGATTCAAATCCAATCAAAATTGGAGTATCGAATTTTGATAAATTACAATTCTTTATTTTTTGTTTATAATATAAATGTGAACATTTACTAACGAGCTTAACTTTTTGAATATTTTTTATTTTTTGGTTTTTCAGGTAATTCAAAATTATTTTTGCAGGTATGATGACGGATTCCAATTGGATTGCTAATGTTGGACCAATGGTATTTTTTTAGACTGAAAACTTAGATTAAAATTAGTGAAAATTGCACTCACACCAGTTAAAAAACTTTTCATTTCAAAAATGAGGTTCAAATAATTTTCTTTACAAAATTAGGTGCACCCCATCCAACTTCACCTACCCTATCCCACCTCTCCTACTCATTAAAAATTTAAAAATTATACCTGTACATAATTATTGCACATAATGTTGTCCATAATGTGATATGACAATTATCCGATTGTTGATGTATAATTGTGAATTTGAATTAAATGTTGAATTCAGTGCTATGTGTAATTATGGACACCATTATATAGATAATTATGTACATGTAGCACTTCCCTTAAAAATTATGTGACTCTTATCTCAAGTTCCATTCTTTCTCTACTTTTTTATCTATTCGGCTACGGTTGTCAACATGCCCGTAAAATATGACCCTCATAACTTAATTAGTTATTTAGATGTCAACAAAAAGCCATCATCTGTTATTTCTCTAAGGTGATCCTTGGGGAGAAATCTATAAATACTCCATCATTTGAAGAAGATGACATGCAATTCAAATATCCCCTCTCATATAGCTATTTTTCTTCTTGCTCTTGTTTGAGTATCAAAACTTGTAAGTTTAGAAGTGAAAGTCATAACTAGGTGAATAAGATTTATTGATCTGGTTTATATTATCAACACAAATCAACGTAAATGGGTTTAAACCCTTAAATATGTACTAAGTCTAAAATACCAATTATGATTATATAACACATTCGACCTTCAAGGCATGGTAAGCCAACTAGATTTCTTAAAAGAAATAAAATTAATATTGCACACAATAAAATTCTAACACGTTAATATCCATCATTTTTCATAGCAATTACATTAACATAAATTTCAGGATTTAAATTTCTTTATTTTCACGTACAACTACGAAGTACAGAACATGCCTCGATTTATAACAAATGATCTCTAGATCTGTATCTTGATTCTCCGTCCAACTATTTAATTGCATGTCTTCAATCTCCAATCACATATTTTAGTTCTATGGAAATTGTTCTTTTTTCTCTTGGCTTTCGCATAATAGCACGAATAATTTAAGGGCTATGCTACTGTGACAGGGTCACGTAGGCCTTGCGCTCTAGGGGCACATGTATAGACCAGGTGCTCCTGTCGCTCCAAGGGCGCACGTATAGACCCCCTACCTACATGGCCTTGTTCTTTTAAAATAATTCGTAGTTTAACAAATATACACGCTCTTTTATAGATAGAGAGAGAGAGAGTTAACCATCAAAATAGTTTTTTAATGAAACTTAACTTCTTCAATAATTAGCAATTAAATAATTTATCATATTTATTAAATTCTACAAGTTATTATGTGGTCACATAAAATATAACACATCAAACGAAGGGGAATGAAGGTGGGGTGGGTGAGTGGTTGGGGGCTAGATGGACTAGACTAAGTGCCAGAATATCTATACATACATAAGCTAGCTAGCTCTCTCTCTCTCTCTCTAAATTGTTTAGTATATATCTTATGATCTTTACGTGCATGAGATGGGCAGCACGAAGTGGCACTTTCAATTGGCAATATTGCATAAGTAGAGCAGTAGAAGAAGAAGATATATGCCACTGATCAAGTTTCAGTCTTTACATAATTACTTCTTCATTTATGATACTGATGCTTTTGAGTTTTGTGGGAGTCAACATCCATTTCAGTGCCTTCTATCTAACGTGATTTCCACACAAGTTCAATCAGGTTGTGCTTAAAAGTAATATGAAATTACTTATTCTTGTAGTTAGCCATATATATAGTTCCTTCATACAAAATGACTGAAACGAGTGATTCAATACGTCAATTGAATGCCACAACATGATGGGTAATTAGTCATTATATATATAAAAATATCATAAAATTTAGAGTAATACTATTCGTAGTCGCTCACTGCGGCAGTCGTTCTACGTGGCATATACATGGTATGTAGTTATTTGATGCACGAGTTAATAAAAAACTATCACATTAATGAATGAAATAATCAACTGTTATGTGTGTGCTACGTAGAACAACTGTCGCAGTAAACGACTGCGAATAACATTATTCTTAAATTTACTGCTGAATTTTATTAAATAAGTGGAAGGATTGTCCACTTCACGATGACTAATTATGTATTTATGATACTTTTATTTGAAAATAAGATCTAATATGAAACACACAATTAATTATTTGATTTTGATTGTAACTATATCTACTAAAATAAGCAATCAAATTCTTGAAATTTAATTAAATCATAAAACACATTAGGATCGCGAATCCACCACCCTTATTTACTGCTTTAATCTTCAATTACTTGTTTATAATCAATTTTTATCTTAGTGAAAATCAATTATCCAAATTCTAGATGCATAATTATATAGTGATTCATAAATATCATTGTGTAACTATTTAATTTTAATTCTCTTATACGCAAAATAAATTAGATTAAGTCCCTATTTGATAGGGATTAAAATTCAAATTTAATTTAAATCAAAATCAACAATTAATTTTGATCACATATTTCATAGGGCTTACAGCTTTTCATCAGGGACAGATCTAGGGGTTAAAAACACTCTATTTTTAACCCTGTCCCCAAGCCGGGACAGGGAGCAAGGCCCTATATATAGTTTCTTCATACAAAATGACTGAAACGAGTGATGGATAATTAGTCATTATATATATAAAAATATCATAAAATTTAGAGTAATACTATTCGTAGTCGCTCACTACGGCAGTCGTTCTACGTGGTATACACATGACAAGTAGTTATTTGATGTACGAGTTAATAAAAAACTATCACATTAATACATAAAATAATCACATGTCATGTGTATGCTACGTAGAACGACTGTTGCAGTAAGCGACTGCGAATACCATTATTCTTAAATTTACTGTCTGAATTTTATTAAATAAGGGGAAGGATTGTCCACTTCACGATGACTAATTATGTATTTATGATACTTTTAATTGAAACTAAGATCTAATATGAAACACAATTAATTATTTGATTTTGATTGTAACTATATCTACTAAAATAAGCAATCAAATTCTTGAAGTTAATTAAATCATATTAGGATCGCAAATCCACCACCCTTATTTACTACTTTAATCTTCAATTACTTGTTTATAATCAATTTTTATCTTAGTGAAAATCAATTATCCAAATTCTAGATTCATAATTATATAGTGATTCATAAATATCATTGTGTAACTATTTAATTTTAATTCTCTTATACGCAAAATAAATTAAATTAAGTCCCTATTTGATAGGGATTAAAATTAAAATTTAATTTAAATCAAAATCAACAATTAATTTTGATCACCGTACATTCGTCCCTACTTTACATCCTTACATTTCATCAATTTCTATCAAAATTTTTTAAAAAATTAATTTTAATCTCTCCAAAGTGGTAAGTTTGGCAAGTTTTGCATAATTACTGACTCCATTCGAGCATTATTCGAGCATAATAAGGCCTCAACACCACAAAATCCACTCTGTCAACCTCTAAACTTGTACATGCACGAGTTCATATATTTTTGCATGAGAATGAGGACTCTATTTGTCCACGTTGTGCCCCAATCCTTCATAACCATTGGGTCAATATCCCGCAATATTTCTATATATTTAAATCAAATATACAAACCCAGAGAATTCGTAGCAAGAAATATAATTTGATCGAAAAATATAGGATTAGGAGGGTATCTATTATGATAGAGTCATGTTTGGATTTTGGACTATATATTCGATAATAAATTAATAGTGATACTTGAATTGGACTCATCCCCAATTTTTCAACTAATCGTGTAACTATAATGTCGAGATGTAATATTAATAAGTGCTTGTTTTGTAAAATTTTTATTTACTAAAAAGTTGATCGTGTTAAGGAATATTATCCCACGTCGAATAAAGACGATAACATAGACCAACTTATAAGGTCTTGTACTACTCCTCTTAATAAGGTTGACATTTTAAGATGGAACCCCAAATTTTAACATAGTATCAGAGCACATTAAGTTCTAAAGAGTGATACGATCTGATTAAAACTAAAAAAATGAGCACACGAATTTCAAGATTGGTTTGCTCAAACGAGCTACCATCTTGCGAGGACATGTTAAGGGATATTATTCCACGTCAAATAAAGACAATAACATAGACCAACTTATAATGTCTTGGGCTATACCTTTTAACAAGGTTGACCTTCACACACTCGTTTGATCCATAATTTTTATTTATTTGTTCACTATTTATTTAATGGGATCCACTGATTTTATCAACTTTTATCATCATCGGTCATCACATAACCTAAAGATTGAAAGTCTAATATCTCGATATATATATATTTTTTTGTGAACTTTATCCACAAAGAAAAAACCCTTGTATAAGCATAAAGGCACACTTTCCAAGTTCTATATATAGAGATGTCCATCTCTTTCTCTTGAAACACCCTTCCCATTCCCATTCCCATCCTTAAGTCTCTTGCTCAACTTACACGTGATTAATGCAGAACAAAGTAGAAACTGAAAACCCAAAAATAGCACCAAAAGGCCACTTTGTGGTGTATGTGGGAAAAGAGATGACAAGATTTGTTATTCCTACATTGTATTTGAAGAATCCTTTGTTTCAACAACTGCTTGATAAGGCTGCAGAAGAGTTCGGTTTCGACAATAGAAGTAGAATTACTCTTCCTTGTGATGAAGATACATTCCGCAGCCTCATGGACCGAATTTTATGAAAGCATATGTAGCTTGTGCTCTATATCATTTGGTTCGTTTATCTTGATCGTGATATATTGTTCTTTTGGGCCTCTCGGGGACACGTTACGTATTAGTAATTCATGAAAATTCCACTTCTCATTGAACTTGGATGTGTACTTAATAAGCGTATGGTACCAACGTTCATCCTGAGCCAGGTTTGAATTCCCATGAAAGAAGTTAAGTTGGGACGTCGTGTATGTGTATTGTTGAATAGAGCACCCACTTTCTTTTTTAATTTTTTTTTTGGGGGGTTTTCCCCCCCCCCCCCCCCCCCCTTTTCATTTTGTATTAATTGTAAGTGTTTTGACCATGTCTAAAACTAATGTCTTAGTGACCATTCTCGAGTTAATGAAGTGTGATGGATGGATTCACTACAGAAAATAGAAAAAAATTTATAAAATTAAAAAAAATAATTAAAATAATTAACAATTCTAATAGGAGGGATCTAATTTTAAAATTTTGGAGCTTTGAGGCAAAATAATAATAATTATCATTATTTTAATAATTTTCAATATTGAAGTAACCATTTATATGAATTTACATGAGTAATCAATACTTTTAATAGTCTAAAAAGGAATGAACAAAAGTGAAACAAGAATATTTAAACAAGAATCTAAACAATATAATATTATTTCCATAAGCATAAAAAAATGATAGGATCGAAGTCAATTATTCTAGGCTTTTGATTATTTCACCTTTACAAACTTTTGATATCCAATTTCTTAAAATTATTATAAGTTTTGAGAAGAGAAAAAAATATATTATGTAATTTCAAACCTACGCAGCTAATCAAGAGTGCATACTATTGATTTTACCCAATTTTTAACAAAAGTAAATTGTAGAAAATAACCGAAAATCGAACACAGAGAATTTTTCACTCACTTACGGGTCCAAATGTTCACGTGTTTTTAACGATACTTAACTGTTGAACATCTACAAAGTAGATTACGCTCCAACTACTAGAATCAAGCAAAAAGCATAATAGTACAAATGTTTGAAGAAATCATTTTTCAAGTTTTCTCTTGCTTCACTGATATACAAATTTACCACAATAAACCAATCACTCTATCTTCTTATGTAGACTCAGTAAACATAAATCCAGTCAAAATTTATAACAGAAAGAGCTTGAATCTGAGAACAGTTTAGCGAGAAAACCCTAGATGAAGAACAAAATAAAACTTATTCGACACACGAACTATGTGAGAGAATAGGGTTAGGCCAAACGAAACCATCGAGCCAATGTCCCCAAAATGCCACATGTAAAGTCAAATTTCCATTTCAACACTACAAGAAACAATGGCTTTACCACCAGATTTTTCAGACCAAATAGAAATAGTCAATGAAAATCATTTTTGCCAACCAATAAAAAATTAGCCAACGAAAACAATATTTTACTAACCACAAAATACTATTAGCAGGCTTAGACTATACATATTTGTCGACTCCAATGAAATGGGTCGGTGGATATCTTATTTTTGGCACATATATTTGTTGGGGACTTGGCGCCTTAACATTTACCGACCAAGATAATATAGTAGTTGGGCTAGATTAGACACATTTGCTGACCAAATGAAAAAGTCGGTGAAGGTCTTATTTTTGGACAATTTTTTTTTTTTTTTTTGTGGGAATTTGGCGCCTTAATATTTACCGTGGCACATATATTTGTTGGGGACTTGGCGCCTTAACATTTACCGTCCAAGATAATATAGTTGTTGGGTTAGATTAGACACATTTGCCGACCAAATGAAAAAGTCGATGAAGGTCTTATTTTTGGCCAATTTTTTTGTGGGAATTTGAAGCCTTAATATTTACTGACAAAGAAATTATTAGTCGACTTTGATGAGATAAAATTCTCCAAAACATTTACAGACCAGAATAAATATTAGTCAGCCGAGTTATAGCATAATTGCCGACCAAATGACATTAAGTTACCAAAGAAATTAAAAAATAAAAGATTATTTTAAAATTCATAAACATTCCAAAAACATAAAAACCATTTGTATAACAATAAAAACAGCAAAGAGTGGAAAATAGAAAAAAAAAAAAAAATTAATGTCAATTGTGAAAAAGTATAGAATGTATTGAACACCGTAAATTTACGGTTAAGAATAAAATTTTAAATTGTACAAAATAATGTTAATTTTTTATCTTCTAAAATTTTGAAAACAAAAATTGTTCAATTAGCAAAATATTGAACGATTTTGGTTTAGTCTAATCTAATTATTTATACGTCAAACATAAATTATAAAATAGAAAAGTGGGGCAAAACTATTGTGTAAATTAATATTAGTGAAGTGAATTGCGCTAAAAATGTCGATTGTTATTAATGCATATTGGTACTTCAAAAAATTTACACCTTTAAATTTTCGAGTATTTATAGAGATAGATAAGACAATCCTCGTGCGAATATGATTGAGTCACTTGATGCATTATCTATTTTAGAGTCACTGAAGGTATTAGAGTCTTATAGGAGTTGGATGATAGAGTCCTACTAACGGTGTTATTATTGAAGTTGGATAAGCTTGATATTGTGGAAGTAAAATCCTACCATGTCAAGGAACTCGATTGGAGTTCAAGCTAGGACAGCACCTCAAAGCAATCAAATCCGAGCTTTAAGCATGATACTTGTTTTCTAGATGGTACTAAAAAGGAGGTAATAGAGATGGAATTTTAGCGGATGACAAATTTCTTTGCTATTATCGATGAAATTACAACAAATTAGGGGAGAAAGTTGTGTGATAGCTATTGATTAGCCTCCAGCAGTCAATGTCATAACCATCCACATGAAGGTGTAGATGACCTCACAAGATTAGCGAGTGGCCGAACATCGTCGTCTGTCCAGATAAACTCTGTTGAAGAGTCATACGAAGGTAAGACTTCATCATACCATTCATTCAACTAATTGGGTTATAAGATCACATTAGGCTCCGCCGCAAGGATAATAAAGTGTTGATTAGGCCAGTCCAACTACACGATCATATCTTAGACTGAGTCATGTTAAATAAGTAATTCAAATCAAGTTAATTTTTATTCATTGACAGAACGAAGAAGCTTTAACAATGTTGAATGCTCTTGCTTGCATGTAAGAAATTAGGGATCAGTACACTATAATTGAATCACTCCTTCTATCGATTTTATCGTTTATTTAGTACATGGATGGAAACCCAATTTAATATTTTTCTATATATCATTTCTACCTAAAAAATATAGTTTCTATCATTTAAATCGAAAAACAAAATCTTGAGAATATGTCTAACTATATAGATTTAATAGTTGTAAAATGCCCAAAATTTTGCATTGGTACAGGATCTTGAAAATAGTTAATGTGAATTGCTTTAAAACAATAAATTATTCAAAGTAATTATAAATTAAGTTATTTACCAATTAGTAAATAACATATTTAGTAATGATAATAAAATGTAAAATAAAAAATAAAATACACGAGTTTTAATTAATAATTTTAGATGAAAATTCATTTTCCACACTTAAAAAATAAAAAATAAAAAATAAAAAATCAGTTCCTGCTAAAAATTTGGATTGCCTCTAAATTTTTATTTCCCTCAATCCAATTTCCCACTCAAATATTTCATTTCCTCTCTAAATGCATTTGTGCCCCCTCTCTGTCTCCTAGTTTCTGCCTGTGAGCAATTCTCCTCCAAATTCACGATCTCCATGAGTTTTTCTCTTCGAGCCATTTGAGGAGAGAAGACCGACGAGAAGACCCCGCTTTTTGAACCGAGGAGAAGAGCAATCACCATGAGTTTCTCTCTTTTGGGTTGTGCTCTTGAATTGAGGATTTTTCAGCATGACTGACGATGCCTTTTTGAATATATATATCCCAAAGCAACTGTGAAGCAGCCACAGAGAAGGAAAGCTTACAAGGTTTGTCAAATTTAAGTAACAAAATGGTAAAACACTAGATTACTTGACTTTTGTTGTTAGTTTGCTTTATTTTCGTCGTGCATTAATCAGTTGGTTGCCCTTTTGCTTATTTTAGGTTTGTTTGTGCTATATGGTTTGCTCAAAATATATCTAATAAATATTTATCTTTCTTATAATTGTTGTTTGTTTTATTGATATGTTTTATGAGGGGGAAATGTAAACAATTCAGCTGGAAAATGGGTTTGAGAATGTTAGATGGATCAATTTGCCAAATTTTTTTTCCTACGTGCCTTTTAATGTTTATTGTTAATGCTTTCTATATTTTCTTAACTTAAGCCATATCGGAAAAAAGAATAATTGTTACATACAATCAAAATGCAGGCCAATAAATATAACTTTTGAAACTTATTAATCCTACTAACTGCGATGAAATGAAACATATGATAAGCATTTAGCTTTTAAGGCTGTAATGGATATCTATGGACGGGAGTTTGTTCAAGAATTATATGCTATAAAGTCCTTTGATTGTGCCTATTATATGCTATGTGAGTAATCTAAAAACTTCCTCTCCTGATCATTTGAGTTGATCCTGAAAACTAGAAGTTCTTGGATCATAAGAGACTATAATGTAATTAATGGCAAACTTAAATGGTTTCTAAGGACAGTGCTTATGGAATGACTAGTTGTTGCTCTCTCTTTCCTTTCTCGTTTGAAATGATTTTATATAATTCTTGACAATCTCTTTGGTTTGTGCATTCATGCATAGTTATTAGTGTTCCTGATGTTGTACACGAAAGTTTATGGCAAACATATACGTGACCGGTTGTTGAACATGGGACGTAGTGGATTATGTTGTGTAATAGGGTAATCAGGATGTGTTGAGGAATTTTCTAGCTTTCGCATGTTATAATATTCATGATGGTACATCCAGTATTCTAGGCCCCTGTCAAGATTGCCTTAATACTACATTTATGGAAATCAATGCATTCAAGCATCACCTGTTTAGATATGGATTCGATATCTCTTACCAAAGGTAGAGTTTCCATGGTGATTCATTATCTGCAATCCATACTTCAGGATTGGAGAGTAGCAGTGTTGAAGTTGTTGATGATAACTTCAAGGATGAGGATGATATGATTGGAATGTTGAGTGATTTAGGAGGTGCAAATGTTGGTAAGGCCAGTTCATCAATTGAACCAGACGTAGAACAAATTCATGGATCAGTTTTTCAAAGAAATGAAGATGAAAGTAATTTTCAAAACATGTTCAATAACCAAGCATTTGAAAAGTTATATTTGAACTGTGCTAAATACTCAACCCTCACTTTCGTCATCAAATTTATGCACATCAAAGTGCTTAATAGATGGAGTAACAAGTCTTTTGATATGCTACTCCAATTATTAATAGATGCTTTTTCAGTATCAAATAACATACTGAGATTGCACTATGATTCGAAGAAGCTGCTCAAGGAGTTGGGGATGGTATATGAATCAATTCATATCTGTAAGCATGATTGTATTTTGTTTTGGAAGGAAAATCAAGACCTTGATGCATGTCTAGTATGCCATGAGTCTAAATGTCGAAGTGGCAAAGATAACTAGAAAAAAATTCCACAAAAAATTCTTCGATACTTTCCTGTGATTCCTAGACTTAAGAAATTATATATGTCTCGCTACACAGCGTTAGAGATGAAGCGGCATAAAACTAAACAGGCCTTGAAAGAAGGCATAATGAGACATCCTGCAGATGGAGAGGCTTGGCAAGCTTTTAATGCGATGTGCCCTGATTTCGCTGAAGAAATGAGAAATGTACGTTTGGGGTTGGCAACCGATGGGTTTAATCGATTTGGAAATATGTCTAATGCATATAGTATGTGGCCAATTATACTTATTCCATACAATCTACTTCCTTTGAAGATGATGAAAGCACCATCTATGAGATGTCCTTATTGATTTTGGGTCCAAAAGCCCTTGTAAAAGAGATTGACGTGTATTTGCATCCTTTGGTTGATGACTTAAAATAGTTGTGGAGTGGTATTCAAGCATATGACGTGTCAATGAAGGAAATGTCACTTTGTGAGCTGCGATAATATGGACCATTAATGTTTTTCCAACTTGCTACACTTCAGGTTAGAGCATGAAAGGGTATAAAGCATGTTGTTTATGCAATGAAGATTCATTATCATTGAGATTGTGAAGCAGGATGGGTTATATTGGACATAGGCAATTTTTACCTATTAATCATCCATGACGTAGAAGCAAAAACTAAGACAAAAAATTGAGTTGCATCATCACCACGTGAGTTTACAGAAGAAGATATTATCTGTCAATTGAATAGGTTTGGTGATCTTGCATTTGGTAAAAATCCCTTAATATGTGGAAAATGCAAGCGATGTGTCAAAGGCTTGAATTGGGTGAAGCGTTCCATTTTTTTTGAGTCGGAGTAGTGGTCCAAAATAAAATTGAGACACAACATAGATGTCATGCATATTGGAAAAAATGTCTATGACACTTTGGTTGGTACTTTGATGAATGTAGAGAAAAAAATCAAATTACACATGGAAAGATCGTATGGACTTGAAAGATATGGACATCCGTCCTAGGTTGCACCTACAACCTAAAGGGAAAAAGTATTATAAACCACATGCTGAATACACGTTACCTTCCGAGGAATGTAGGGCTTATGTAGATTTTTAAAGTCAGTCAAGCTTCTTGATGGGTATGCTGCCAATATTTCAAGGTGTGTTAATGTAAACGATGGTCGCATACATGGCTGAAAAAGCCATGATTGTAATGTGCTCTTACAACGAATATTACCTACTGGAGTAAGAAAGTACTTGAAGAATGATGTTTGTAATGCATTGGTTGAACTTTATAAGTTCTTTGAGCAAATAACTGCTCAAACGTTACATTTGAAAGACCTAGAGAAGCTTGAAAAAGAAGTTTTACTGATTTTATATAGGTTAAAAGAATTTTTTCACCTGCATTCTTTGACATAATGGTGCACTTAACAGTTTATTTGCCTCGTGAGGTCCGACTAACTCGACCAATTGCTTCATGGTTGATTTATCCAATAGAGCGATATTTGTGAACTTTGAAGATGTGTGTGAAGAACAAAGCAAGTCCAGAAGATTCAACTGCAGAGAGATACATTATTAATGAGGCTCTTACATTTTCATCTATGTACTTTTATGGGTTGGAGACTAGAACGTAATGATGATGGTTGAAATGTAGTTCAAGTAAATGAGTTCTCTGTGTTCTCTCAACATTTAAAGGGTTATATAAGAATCAAATTTTATATCAGTCAATGTTTCTCGAACTTGGTACAAGGATCATCCATTAATTTTTTCAGCACAAGCTATTCAAATGTTCTATCTAAATGATTTGAAAAATAAAACCAATTCGAAAGTAATACAAAAGGCCTCGCATCGTCATATATGGGATGCAGTTGAGACTACTGATGAGTGTAATGACGATGATGAAATCTCCACTTCTAATTTTGTCCAAGAAGACAGCTCGTATACAGATATACAGCTTTTGGTTGAACGAGATGATTTGGACAATGGACTATATGTTCGCATTGATGTTCCACTTGAACAAGTTGATGTGGAATATATTGATGAATTTGACATGGAAGAAGACTTCCAATTTGAAGTTGATGATATGGATGATGAGAATAATTTCAAAAAATCCGATACGAAGATCGAATTTATTTCAAACTGTGACAGTGATTGACGTCCCTACTAGTTATAGTAAATGGTAATTTCATTTTGTGATCATTGTAAGACTTCTGGAGTTTTTAATCGAGTTCTTAACTCATTTTTTTGGTTTATTATTAACATCATATTCTTTTAACACGTAGTGCCACTCATAAGGAAGTTGGAAATCATTTATTGAGAGACTGATGGGTGACCTATTGGTACTAATATCAGAAGGCTTGTATTTGAAATAAGATCTATTATTCCATACATGTCGTTTCTCTGAACTGTATTTCTCTTATGCTTGTACAATACCAACCATATATCTGCACATCTTTAATTAGTGATTTCATTTTTCTCTTCCTTTTTCACTATTCAGAGCGACAATATCATATTTTGGTAGTGGAATATGCTGGGTAAGAATTGGAATTCGGAGTAAAAATGTAAAAGGGTGATTAATTGAGAGAGTAACAGGGAAAGTGTGTAAGTAGTACAAAGCTATACAAGAAAAGAGCTACCGGGCGGCTGGCTGCATGTGAAATCATAATAAAATGTGCTATTGAGCTACACCAAAGAAAAAAATCAAATGTAACAGGGTTTGGTTTATGGAGTTCAAACACATAGAAGAGTACTAGAGACTGATCAGATAATATAGTACTTAGAAAGGAAGCATACTCTTCACAGGACAGGTTTTGGACCACACAGCAAATGGTCTGACTCATACATTTTGCACAGCAGAATATAAAACTTATCTGCAAAAATGCTAGATCATGCTGAATAGACCATTGAAGTCCTTGCCTAGATGCTTCTTGTTGAACCTAAATACTTCATAGTGTTGGCAAATATCTAACAGCATCGTACGAATGTGATGCTAGAATTTTATTATTATTATTATTATTTTTAACAAAGGAAAGGAAATATGAACTTGTGTTATGGAATAGTGGTCCTTGATTTTAACTTTAGTAAATTAGTGCACGAATTTGAAAGGGAAGGCCTAGTGATGGTAGCGGGGCGGGGGGTGCCGCACCCCGTCCCGTCTAACGGCGGCTTGCCCCATTTGCTGTTCCGTTTATTTTTTTTATTTTTTATTTTACTTTTTCTCTTCACAGGATGAGTTTCCGTCCTGCCAACTTGTCAGGGCGGGGATTTTTGCCATCCCTAGGGGGGCCAAAGGGTGATACCAATACTTGAACTGGATGAATCATATTTGATTATTAATGTTGACATCAATACAGACTTCTATGTTAACTCCCGAATAAGAAATTTACATTTAATTTCTAAGTTAACTTTCGAGTACAATATTAATACTTTCATGTTGTCATGCAGAATGAGAACTAGGCATATAGATCACACAAGGCTCATGTTGAGGGAGACGAGATTGAGAGTCAATGAGTATAACTCACTTCGACCGGAGAATGCTACTCGGTTCTTATATTGCCTATGTTTTTGTTTCACTAGGCTTTTGCCTATGTTTTTGGAACTTGACTAGGCTTTTTGATTGCCTATGATAATTTTTTCTTGGACTACATCTATGTACATAGTTACTCACTTTGGAGTCTTGTGAACAATAGTATATTATTTTGCCTTACATGTACTTTGCTAGAGGTTTATGAATTGTGACTATTGCATTGTGATTTCGGATATATCTTGATTTTGATTTGTGTCATGCATTGTGTTTGAGTTGGGCTTTTAATCTATTTTTTGTATTTGATCATTGCCCATTTATTGACTGAAATCATAGTCGACAAATGTGGATTGCACAGGATTAAATCCACTAGATCACATTTTCTTGGTTGGCAAATTGGAGATTTTTCCCAACTAACCTAATATGGTCTCCAATGTTTACCCGACTTAAATTGGTTGGTCAACAAAGGTATATTTTCCTCGACCAACTACTGTGGTCAGTCTATATTTTTTTCAACTTCAATTCCTTTGTTGGCAAAGGTATATTTTTCCTGATCAAAAGAGGCCTATACTTTTACCGACCTTGTTTTAAACCTTAACTGACCCAAATTACGGTAAAAAAGGCTCTATTATTCCTGACCAACTTCTTGAAAACCTATATATTTTGAAATTGTTTCTTTCATTAATGCAGTTTTTTCATAACTAGAACTGGAAAAAACAACACAGGGCATAACATTTTCATGAAAAATGGGATTTCTACTTATAATGATTTTAAAGCCATTATGTTCATTAACACTTGGTTCAAGTTTTTCTTCAGTTTGATGGGATGCACAGTCAAAGATTTTAAGTCTAGTATAATCTGTAGGCTTGTCAGACCGCATTTGCTCAAGTAGAGGGAATTATATTAATTAGATATGTCACAATTTTTAAGACATGTCCTCAAAATAACTTAGGAAGACTAAAACTTAGAGCATGCATCTAATCTTCTCAAATAGGTTTCATTCATTCTCAAAGTTACACCATTCTACTGATATGTATAAGTGACAACCATATTCCTTAGAATACCTGATTATTTGCAAAGGGAGTCATACTCAACATTACCGAATTGAGTGATTTAATTTTTCTTGTTTTTTTAATTTTCAATCAACAATTTTCATTGCTTAAAATTTGAAAAGTGTCAGATTTAGCTATTAACAAAAAATAAAAAAATAAAAAAATAAAAAATAAAAAAAAATCCATATTTTTCTTAAAAAATCTTATACTATAAGTAGATAAAATCTTATCCAATAAGATTATTTATAGATGCGGGCCTCTAAAGATCAGCATGTAAAATTCAAGAGTAGAGGTGGATTTATAAATGGTAGTTTTAGAAGATATTCTATTTTGTTTTCGCATAACATGCTTGTCACTATATTTAAGCTTTTCAATCTTATAATTACTTATAATAAAAAAAAAAAAAAAAAACTTGATTTCTTTAGTATTTCTAGACCCTTATCATGTATGTGACCCATTCTTTTATGCCATGTCAAAGATCGAAGATTTGCTACAGTATAGTTACTATCAATTAATGGTTCAGCCTACAGTATGTAAATTTTATTCATCGTTGAAGTAGAAATTACTTCTTCACTGTCAAGACATTTAAAAAAAAAAAAAAACTCTATAGATTCTTGTGTCATATTCAATATCATACTCCCCTGGAGATCAAATATCTCAGTAGATTGGAAGATGAGTGTGTTTCACTCATGCTTTTTATAGCAACTTAAGTTGATAATTTGTTAAATTTGTTGAGTTTTTAGAACGTTATGATGTGAGTGTTAATGTTGCTTTGTAGGATTAGTGAATTTGTGAAAAAGAGTAATCGTGGAGTTTAAAGAAGCTAAAAAGAATGATTAAATGAATGAGCAAGTGAATGTCTTGAAAATCATGTAAAGGGGGTGAAGAAAGTGGCTAAATTGAGAAAAAATGGAGGAAATATACATCAAAGAACACTACCACAATGGCGCCTTAGCGCACCTAAAAAGCTAGAGCAACTAGAAGGAAACAGGAGTTGGAAGCCTAGGCGCCACACTTGCAATGCCTAGATGCCATCCCATTGAAGAGAGGAACACAAATTTTCAAAACTCTAGTGCCTTGGCACTAGGCAATTTTATTACGCAGTGCCCAGGCGCCACATCTATAGCGCCTAGACACTGAGCCGTCAGTAGGGTTGTTTTTTTTTTTTTTTGGTTGTTTAGAGCCCAATTACAATCCAACTCGACTAGGACTTCAAAGGACTTATAAGTACAACTTTAAAGACGCTTTTCAAAGGAGAATTCAACGATGCAAGAGGCAAGAGTTAAGAGATCAATCAAGAGAACAAAGAGGTAACAAAGAGAAAAGAGCTTAAGCTGCAAACCATCTTTTCTTATCCATGTTTTTAATGTTGAATTTAATTATGTCTCTTTCATTCATTATGAACTAAATTCTTAATCTATGGGTTTGATGTAACCATAACTTGAGACCATTTGGATCCTCATTTTCTTCCAAAAAAAAAAGGAAGTAGAAGGATATTATTCTCTTTTCATTCTAAATGTAACAAAAAATAGTAGTTTCTCCTATGTTTTCACACAAAAAATAAAAATAAATAAATAAGGAAAAAAAAACAAAAATGATTGCAAGTCTACCATTACCATGAAATTACATATTCCAATTTGAGAAAAATAAAAGGATTCAGCATTTGACCTTTTCTTTCTTTTTTCTTTTGATATCTTTGAGCCAATTAAACAAATTTTAGAAGTTGGGTAGGGAGGGGGGGTCAAAGATTCTATAGAAATTTATATATGAAACCGAGTTAGTTACCTTTCAGAAAAATTATACCCTCCGTTCAATGAGAAAATGGGTCAAAATCTACAGAATCAAATCTAAGTTGATCATGGATCACCAGTAAGCCTAAATAGGATTCTTCATAGGTTGTCCTTCGTTATTCTTCATTAGAAGGCCCTATTCGTAACAAATTTCCTTTGTAGTCGAGTGTGAGAGATTACCTTTTGATTTACCAGAAATTTTGATTTTATATTAGTTATCTCTTTCCAGTTTTTCATTGAAGTTTATTTGTGTTATTGGTTTAATACTTTCAATCACCTGATCAATAATTGAATGATTTGATGGTTTAAATTTTGACACTCGAGAGAGGAAAATTTAGGTGCGATCTTAACACAACCTAAATTTTGGAGAGAGAGATGGTATAAAATCTTTGAAACATGATCCACTTAGGAATTATGAATTTGATACTTTCTAGATTTTAATTTAGAATAAAGATATTAGAGTTGAAATATAGGAATAGTTTTCACTTGGTACTTGAGAGAGTGAGTAGAATTAAATTATGAGAAGTAAATTAGATTTCTCAGTTATAATCTTGGAAAAATTGATTAGAGTTACCTAAATAATTGAGAAACATTGTTGATAGTTAGGTGAAGTTGTGCCATAGGCTTTCTCATATTGATTTATTCCTTCAAATTTGCATAATATCGTTGGATCAGTCATCACAATAATATTATATTTAATAAATCAGAAAACTTGACACTGTACACTTACGATATATTTATATTATAAAAAATGCGTAACAAGTTTTTAATGCCGTTGTCGAGAATTGATTTATTTGATTTTTACAAATAATATTAGTAACTTTGTTTTAATGTTCCATTTCATTAATCACTATTAGTTTGCTTATTTTTATTTCAACTGTGCACACGAAAAGCAAGAAATTCTAAATTGCTACCCATTGATCCCAAGATTAAAAGAACTTTTTTTTTTTTTTGGGGTATGCGAAGAAACAAACTCGAAGCAATGGCAGAACAGGTAGCAAATGAAAATAATCAACAGCGAGCTATTAGGGAATATATTGGACCAGTTGTTAATGATCACTACTCCAGTATTGCACGCTTGACAATGCTTGCAAATAACTTTGAACTGAAGTCAAGATTGATGTAAATGGTACAACAAAATCAGATTGGGAGAGTTCCACAAGATGATTCTAACGTCCATCTAGCTACTTTTCTACAGATTTATTATATTGTGAAGATGAATGACGTTACTAAAGATGTAATCAGACTGCGTTTGTTTTCCTTTTCCTTGATAGATAAAGTAATAGCATGGTTCTAATCATTGTCGTATAGGTCGATTACTACTTAGGAAGGTTTTGATCAAAAAAATTCTCACTAAACTCTTTCCTCCTTCCAAGTTAGCTCAACTATGGAGTGAGATCGGCCACTTCAGACAATTAGACCTTAAACCATACTATGAAGCTTAGGAGATATTTAAAGATTTGCTTAGAAGTTACCCTCAACATGGTTATTAGAGTTGGATGCAAATTGAGATATTCTACAACGGATTGAATGGCCAAACACAGACTATAGTTGATGTTGCTAAACGTGTTACTTTGATGGCTAAAACTGCATATGTTTTTTATTCACTCTTGGATAATATAGCTATCAACATCTACTAATGGTCAAGTGAGAGCTTAAGTGCAAAAAGAGTTGCTATTCTTTATGAAGTAGAACCTAACACTGTCCTCGCAGCTCAGTTTTCATTACTTACTACTCAAATATCTGTATTAACTATTGCTTCTACACCACATTAGGATGCTAAGATGGAGAATGAGCAAGCTCAGTGTGTCAACAACAAGAACTTCAACCAGAGAAGAAATTACTCATGTAATCACTACCATCCAGGGCTAAAAAAATATGAAAATTTATCATATGGAAACAACAAGAATGTACTTCAACCTCTTCCTAGATTCAATAATCAATCTTCTAAAGGCAAACAATCCTTGGAAGACATCCTGAGGACTTTTATATTGGAGATAAGATCATGATTTAACAAATATAAGTGATGTTTGAATAATATTGAGGCTCGTATGACAAACAGTGGAGCTACAATGAAGAATCTTAAGATACAATTGGTCAGTTGGCTACTTCAATTAATTTTCAATCGAAAGAAAATTTTCCAAGTGATATAGAGGTCAAATCAAAGAAGCATTACAAAGCTATTACATTGAGGAGCTGCAAAGAATTTGGAGAGAGTATGCCTATAGAGACATCGAATTCCACACCTAATCAGGAAGGAAAATAGAGTGTTCCAAAACAAGAGATTCAAGTTGAGGAAACAAGGAAAGATCACAGACCTAATTCTCTCACAAACCTAAATAATCTACCAATCATCAAGCCAGCACTTCCTTTTCCCCAAAGATTTTAGA